GTGGCTTCAGCAGTGATGATTTGGTGAGTTATTTATTGTTTAAATATAACTTGTAAATATTTTAAATAGTCGGTTTTTAATTTTTTGTTATTTTTTTAGTGTAGATGATAGCAGCTAAAGACCTGTTTCGTAGCCAAACAGGTGGTGAATTTAAGTTAGAAAGTTGCTGGGAGATCTTGAAGTATAATAATAAATAGAATTCACATTGTGCCGAACAAGTAGGAAAAGGAAAAAAGAAAAAAAGAGCCGAAGAAGATGAATGGATTTGACTTTGACATTAATAAGTCTGTTGGGTACTCATTACCATCTACTTCATCAAGTCATGCAGCCACGACAGATGGAGCTTCAACTGAAGAATCACCACACATAGGGGAAAATGATTCATCCGGTGTGGAAGAATATCAACTACAAAGACCAACAGGAAGAAAAGCGGTGAAGTTGCGTTGAACAAAAATTAATTCAGCGAATGAATTGCAAACTTCATTCGTTTCGAAATTTAATAATATCACTACCCGTTTTAAGAGTCATCAGGAGAAAATGCAGGATGCCCAAGTGGCTCGAGAGGTAGGAAAAATGGAGAAAGAGAAGACAAGGCAGCTAAAGATTCTAGAGAAACAGAGACTTAAAGAGAAGGAGCTCATGTTAACAGATCCAAATTCGGCAGCAACAGAAGCGAGAAAAGCTTAGATTATTGCACGACAAAAATGAGATATTGGCATCTTTGAATTCACGGTCCGCCCCAAAGTTCCCATAGGATTTTGTAATCCTTGGTTTATTTATTTTTTTATTCCAATTTAGGATATTGTATTGTTTAAGTTATTTTTAATAGTTTTGTTTATTTTTTATTTTTTATTTTTTTTTAATCCATAATGAATAATGTATTCTTTCAAGTTCTAATATAAATCGTAATTTTTTTAATAATTTGCAAAAATATTGTTTGATTGAAAAATATTGCCGTTGAGAAAATATAGCCGTTAAAAATATACCCGTTACGAGTATAACCGTTTAAGAAAAGTAAAAAAAAAAAAAAAAAAATTAATTTTTTTTATTATTTTTTTTTAGAGAGCGAAAATTCGAAAAGCCTGATGGAGTTCATATTTTTGGAGAGCAAAATCTGTTGATGTGGCTCTTGGAATTGCTGATGTAACTCTTGAAAAAACTGATCTGGTATTTTTAGAGAGCCAAAATCCGGAGAGGTGCAAATGGCCTAAGATAACTTAAACCCGACCCGACTCTCTCTCTCTCTATATATATATATATTATAGAAACATTACACACAAGTACACTTACCCCAGTCTAAAACCTCCAGAGATCCAGTTTCGTTCTTCACTGGTTAATTCGCTTTTCACTGTACAACGAATCAAGAAGACGTTGAGTGACGTAAGCCTTGAAGATGTGATTGATAGCTTGACAGAAGTAGTCGGAGCCGCGAGCGACAAATATGACAGGGAAAACCCCTGAAGAAACGCCTCTTTCTGCGACGTCCACAACAATAGCTGATGATGAAATCCATTAATCATCTTCAGTTTCTTAATATACCTAACCATGAAAAACCCCTCAAGAAATGCATTTCTCTTCTCCTCCCACCACAATAAAGGCCGATGAAGAAACAAAGATCATCTCTCATCAAGAAACCCATGAATTTATTTTTTGAAATACCCAAGAATCAAAGGTTGATCAGTGATCTAGAAAACCCCTCAAGAAGTGCCTTTCTCTGCTCCTACGACCACAACAAAGCCTCATGAAGAAACCCATTAATCAGTTTCTTGATATATATACCCAATAATGAAAGGTTTGCCAATAATCAAAACTTGGTCCTGAAAAGAAAGAAGAATGATCAGAAGATGAAGAAGAAGAAAAATGATATGAAATTAAGACGTAATTGTCCAGAGATGCCTATATAGATGAGGAATCGAATTGGTGAGATTGATGGTTCTAATGTCAAGCTGTTGATACAGAAAGGGTTGTTTGCAATTGATCTTAGTGATCTTCACTATCGTTTGTCAATGCCGGTAAACGATTTAAGAAGCGAATTTCTTACGGAGGATGAGACGGCACGGTCGAAGATGAAACAAGGAAAGGAATGGTTAGGAATAGGAACTTTATTGATTGATCCAGAGTTGAATGAATTTATGACAAAACTGAAGAGGTGGGAATGGAGAAGAAGGGTACTGATAGCAAATCTATCCCAATATATGTGTTGGTTAACCCTTGGAAAGTAATTGTTAAAGTGAATCACTTTGTTGAAGATGAAATTATGCAAGTTTGGTCATACCGGACACTGGAATGCGAACTTTGCTTTGCGCTTGTTGAAGTCCCAACTCAGGCAGAGGATGCTGCTGCTGCAAACCATGGTTGTTAAAATCGCGATTCTGAGTCGTAGAATCACACGATTCTACGACTCAGCTCTTAAAATCGACTCAAATCGGATCAAAATCGCCCAATTGATAGAATCGTAGGTAGAATCGTTAGAATCGTTGGTAGAATCGTAGAATCGTACGATTATATACGATTCTACCGATTCTACCAAAAAAGTGTGTTTGGGGCCTTTGGGCGGGCCTTTATACTATTTGGTCTTTGGGCCTTTATTCTTTTAGTTGTCTGGGCTAAAGCCTGGCCCAAATTTTGTATAAAAATTTATTTACCAAATTATATATTTTAATTATTTATTTTATAAATCATAAAATACAAAACGAAGTTAACGAACCCTATCTCAGAGAGGAGTGAGGAGTCGAGGACTGAGAAGAGGCGGCAGTGCAGAGGGTAGAGGCTCATAGCTTGCAGATCGGAATCATCAGATCCATACAGCAGCTTACAGGTTCGGCCAGGTATGTTATATATTTATTTTCTTCCTTAATCAAGAAATTTCAAGAATCTCCAACTACTAATTAGCAATTGATTCTAGAATCTCCAACTACTAATCAGTAAAGCTAGGGAGTAGAAACTAGAAAGAGAGAATACAATTAATATATGTTATAGAATTGCAAAGTTAATTGCATTTCTTTAAAAGGTATGATTTGATTTTGAGATTTTAAGCATCTCTATCTATATATTCCCAGTGCTTTTGGGATGGAGGACCTTCCATTTATATAATATATATATATATATATATATATATATATATATATATATATATGTATGTATGTATGTCTAACTGCAAGTCTGCAATACATTTTAAAACCAAAGAAAATAGAAACAAGCTAAGCTAGAAGAGGGGCGCGGCTTGATCAGTGGTGAAATCCATCGATCGATCAGATTGCTTAAAATTAATTAATATGAGTTGTTATGAGCAGTGGAAGCCTGTTTTGGCAATAGTGGGTGTTGATTTTGGTTTGGCGGTTGTCAACATACTTCTTAAGAAGGTCCTTAAGCAAGGAATAAACCAGTTGGTAATCGTCACATACAAACAATCTATTTCTGCTATTTTCTTGATCCTTGTTGCATACTTTATGGAAAGGTGCGTACTCGATCATGTTCCTTTCCATCATTTTATGAAAATAACTACCTACACAACATTTTATTAATTTTTACCCCATATTAAAATGGCCGACCTCAGTTGTTAATACTACATATATATACCCTTATATTTAATATATATATATGTACCTCAGGATTAATCTTAGTTAATACATAACTTTCTGTTGGCTCCATGATTTTAGTATTTTACAGAATATATATATATATACACACACACACACACACACACACACACACACACACACACACACACACAAACAGTAGGTTCTAGCTTCAAATTAAGAAGTATATATGTGTAGTGAATTTAATTAATTTGTTGCAGGAAAAGCAGGCCTAAGGCTTAATACACCTGATCTGCTTTCTTATCCGTATTTCTAATCCTGCCAACTAGTTATATGAATTATATGAATGCAAAACTTTTGATTGGTTGAATAACTTGAATTATATGAATATTGAAATAGATGTCATCAGCTGGAAGTTCTGGTAAAACTACAAGAAAAAATGCTCTGGGACAAAGATTAGATCCGGGATGGGAACATGGGGTCGAGGATGGGACTTCAAAAAAAGTGAAGTGTCGGTATTGCGACACTTCCCATTCTGGGGGTATTTATTGGCATAAACATCACTTGGCTGGCACTCATTTAAATGTTGAGCTGTGTCCACAAGTGCCCGAAGAAGTGAGAACACAATTTCAAAAAATTCTTCAAGCTCATTCAGAGGAAAGTCAAAAGAAGAAGAAACAAAACTTATATGATGTTGATATCGATGATGATGATAGTGAATGTATAGCCTTAGAACAATCAAAGAAGCGGAAACAAGGTGGTGCAATAGATGGATTTGTAATAAAGAATTCGTCAAGGCAAACAACATTGAATGAGAAATTTAAAAAGGAAGAGAGAGATGCAGTATGTCAAATCATAGCCCGATTTTTTTATACCAGTGCTATACCATTCAATTGTGTGAACAATCCCATATTTCCTCTTATGATTAAAAGGATTGGAGAGTATGGGAGGGGGTTCAATCCTCCTTCTTATCATGAAATTAGAGAGACATTTTTGAAGAAGGAAGTGAGTGAAGCATTGAATATACTCAAGAATTTTAGAGGAGAATGGGTGAAGACTGGATGCACTATTATGTCAGATGGGTGGTCTGATAGGAGGAGACGTTCAATATGTAATTTTCTTGTCAATAGCCCATCGGGAACTATCTTTTTGTCATCCCGAGATACTTCGGATATTTCAAAAACTGGCCAAATGGTTTTTGAAATGTTAGATGAGATTGTGGAAAAAGTTGGAGAAGAAAATGTTGTACAAGTTGTGACTGATAATGCTTCTAACTACAAATTGGCTGGAGAGATGTTGATGGAAAAGAGGAAAAAATTATTTTGAACACCTTGTGCCGCTCATTGCATTGATTTGATGTTGGAGGATTTTGAGAAAAAAATTGAGATGCATAGTGAGACAATTGAAGATGGAAGGATGATTGTTTCATACATTTATTCAAGGTGTATGCTTAACCATTAGATGAAGGAATTCACAAATGGCAAGGAGCTTATTAGACCTGCAGTGACGCTATTTGCCTTAACTTTGCAGCGTCTTAATCAACTAAAAGGAGAATTGATGAATCTTTTTACATCATCTAAGTGGAAGTCTAGTAAGTTTGCAAGGACACGTAAAGGGAAAAGAGTTGAAGGCGTGGCTTTAGACAATCGTAACTTCTGGACAAATGTTGCCAATTGTCTAAGAGCTGCAATACCTCTTGTTAAAGTACTCCGATTGGTGGATTCTGATGAAAGACCGGCTATGAGATTCATTTATGGAGCAATGGATCGTGCCAAGGAGGAAATTAAGAAAAACTTCAATGGCATCAAAAAGTGGTAAAGTTTTAATTTATTTAAAAACTAAAAGAGTAATAGAGTTTTTTATTGTTTAGAATATAGTATTGTTTGTAAATAGTTAAACTAAAAATTATTAGACTTACATTAAATTAACGATTTTGTAGGTATGAACCTATTTGTACGATCATTGAAGCAAGATGGGCATCTCAACTTCATCAACCCTTGCATGCGGCAGCATATTTTTTGAATCCCCAATTCCAATATAGTCCAAGTTTCCATTTAGATGCAGATGTGAAAATAGGAGTTTATAGATGTCTCCAAAGAATGGTTCCTGATTCTAATGAGAGAGTAAAAATTGATTGCCAAATGGACACATTCAAAGCTGGAAGAGGGCTCTTTGGCCTAGATAATGCAATATTGACAAGGAACAAGAAGTCTCCAGGTTAGAAAATGCAATATTGATATTTGATAATTTATTATATTTCGTAATTCAAATGTCAATTGAAAATTGAATAGTTTTAACTTTAATGTTATAATTTTTTTAATATAATAGCTGAATGGTGGGATTCATATGGTGATGAGTGCCCCAAGTTGAAGCGGTTTGCAATTAGAATATTGAGTTTAACATGTAGCTCTTTGGGATGTGAAAGGAATTGGAGTGCCTTTGAGATGGTAAATTACTGAATAATGCATAGTTCTAAAATTTTAATAATGTTGTTTAATTTTAAGTTTTAACCTCATTGGTAATATATTTAGGTGCATTCAAAAAGGAGACACCGGTTGCAACAAAAGAAAATGAATGATTTGGTATTTGTTATGTATAACATAAAATTGAGGGAGAGGAACTTGAAAAGACAAGCCGTCATAGAACTAACTATTTTTGAAGATGTCTCTTCCGATGATGAATGGATTACCGAAAAAGAGGATCCGGTTCTTCCAACAAAAACTAAATGGTTGAGGGTTCTTGATGACAAAGTTCAAGAAGATGATTCCGATGAAGAAGATGAAGTAGAAAGGATGACTAGGACACGTAAGAACTTAAATTTTAAACTTTTATTATAATATTGTATAAATTATTACATTATATTAATTTTTGTTCTTTCTTTATGCTTTGTAGTTGAGGAAATTTATGCAATTGATGATAATGAAGATTTGCAGCCATTAAATCCTATTGATGAAGCTAATGAGGAAGATGGTGCAGGGTTCAATGATGACTTTATGGATATGTAATTTTAGTTTCTAACTTTGGAAAGGGATGAGTTAGGATTTGAGATTTATGGACTATTTTATTTTGTGTTACATCCTCTTTTATTTATATTCAGACTTTGGAATATTTTCTTTTACTTTTATTTATATTCGGACTTTAGAAGATTGTTAGGATTTGAGATTTGAAGTCATGGATATGTAATATGGTGTGTTTTGGCCTTATTTTGGTTATATTTTACATATCTTATTGTTTAGGAAGTTAGTTTCAATTATTTTTTCACAATTTGGTAGAATCTTACGAATTCTACGTAGAATCCCGATTTTAACAACCTTGCTGCAAACTACTAGTTGTTTATGTATTTTTATGTAATTAAAATGAATTTTGATCTGCGAAGTCAAATGCATATTTGTATTGTTTCTAATTTTGTTGCTTTAATTGAATTTCAGTTTAGTGATATATGTTTACACGTGTAATTCTCTAATTCCCAAAGGAAAAATGTTATATAATGACTAGAAGATATTTAAATAGTTGTGTTTCTTAAGCTAGATATATTTATTTCATATGGGTTGAAAGAAATAGACACACCTTAATTTGATGGTGCTCACTCTTCAATTGCTCTGATCCAAACAAAGATTGATTTTTGACATATACCCTGGGTTGTTGATTCTAGAGTTGGTCTCAGCTGCATGTTGGGATTCTTCACCTTAGCATTTGTTTGTGCTCTCAGAGTTTTTGTCCTGCTGTTGTGATGTTCTTCCTAGCCTTAACGACTAGTTTTTTTGAATTCTCAGCACATGGTTTTGGTTGGTGGCAGCTTATTTGGGCCTTTTTGTTCTGAGTTTTTGTTGCTTAGCCTTTGGGCGTTGCTCTCTAGGCCTCGCAGGCCTATACAGATTGTTTTCTTTATTTACCAAAAAAAGAGAGTTATTTGTTAGCATAGGAGGTTATGTAATAATAATTTTGAATTAGTACGGGGTTTTATGATTTTAATCCTAAAAAGTTTTTCTGGATTCCGCATATATCTAATTTTTTCTAAAACGATTCCTGTATAAAAATTTTGTTTATCGGAAAACTTGTCAAGTTATATTTTAAATTTTTATTATACCCATAATTATCAGTTGGGTTTCCTCTATCTTTTTCTCCTTTTTTATCGCTTTATTCTTCTTCTCTTTTTTTTTTTCTTCCTTTTTTTTCCCTTCCAAATACGTATATACGTATATAATATTATGGTAAGTATTTTTTAAGTGCATTATATTACTTTACAATATGTATATAGACATATCAACTGGGTTTTAGAATTTTGATACTAGAGTTATTATAAGTTGTAAGGAATATATACATTCCTTAAAAAGAATAATACAAAATAGTATATAGTTATATAATTCTATACATTTCTTAAAAAGAATAATACAAAATAGTATATAGTTATATAATTCTAGTTGAATTCAAAAAGAAAACTCTCGTAAACTTGGTTATTATATGTAAAATTCTATTGATTTTGGTTATTCTAATATAAGCAAACATATAATGGAACAGTTCTAATCTTATTTGATTTCATCAAAGTCATTACAATTACTATATAAATTGTAATGTCCAAATCATATATATATATATATATATATATATAAATACTAAAATATTTTTTAGTAAAGAAATTCAGGTGACTTGTGCCTCGTACAAGTTCAGAATATTATTATAAATAACAAAATTTGATGCATGAATTAATTTTACTCAAATTTATTTGAATTTTTAGTATTTAAAGTTATAAAGACAATTTTGATAAGTACAATCATTTTCTTTTCTCTTTCATTCTATCCAAACTAACAACATAATATTTTCTCATAACTTTCTTGAAATTTTTTATATTAATCAAGTGCACAATGGAAACTTAATTTTCTTTCACTTTCACTTTTCACTATTTATTTTTTATCTAACCAAACAGACCTTAAAACTTAAGCCCAAATCAGAAAGCCCCATTCAAAAGCCCAAAAGGCGCCGCCCCATGGGGGGCGGGTTTGCAAATGTTGACAAATACTTCGCCTGAATTAGAAAAAGTCGGAAGAATCATTTTTTTTAGGTTGACCTATAAAAACATCAATTCATGTGAATAGCTGTATTGAATCAAATCAATTAACCACGGCTTCAATGCTTTGCTATCTCTGAGTATGACTTTAACAATTGCAGACTACAACTGTTTGGGGGCTGTAGGACATGTTACACAACTTACACGAGGACGAGGTATAGAGAGAGAACAAAGTTGGACTTGGATATCATTCAATTTTTATTCTCCAAAATTGTCTTGTCAAATCCCAATCATATTTTTCTTTAGTTTGCTTCAAAAATTGACATTTCATTTTATTTCAATGGGCAAGATACTGGCTGAATTATCTCACACTCAAAAGTTAGTTCAAGCTGCTCAGTCCATTGTAAAAGTTAGACAAACAGTACTTATCTTGACCTTATTGTTTAAGTAGTTACTGCAAATGTGACCAACTTAAAGATGGAACCCATTAGTGAGTGTATAAAATATCTTTGCTTCTAGTATTTCATATCAATATATATATGTGTGTGTGTAAATACACATTATAAAATAGGCATTTAAATATACATGTGTTGCACTGTGTAACAGGACATTAACATAGGGACAAAAATATGCTCCAGTCCGTCTCTCACTTGATTCTTTCCAGTGAGGATCCAAGGATTAAGATGAAATCACTTCAGTCTATTTGCCACATCACCGCCTAATTAGCTCCAACTTAATACCCAGTCAATAACTTAGTCAACAAAGTTATTGATATAATCTTTTTTTTTTTTTTACCACATATAGTAATATTTCTATACAACATATACTTATACAATATACGTATAACAATATATTATATACAAGAATATTTTATTTTATTTAACTTTACCTTTTTAGTAAAATTACAAATCTTAAACATGAATTATGTATCGGTACAGTTCAGTATCCAAGTATAAATTTATTTGAGATTTTAGGTTTTGAAATAATTGACTAATTATATAGATTTTCGAGTTTGGAATTGTAAATTTGAATTGTGAAAGTTAATTTTTTTAACGTGTTAAGAAAATATATTGATGTTATATGCAATTCATACATGAAACATGTTTTAAAAAGTTGTGATAATAATAATTTGATCTCGATCTCCAACTTTTGTATTGTATGCTTTTATAAAAAGTAGGTGATGAATATGCAAATCTTCTTAGATATATGTTGAAATTATTTGTGGTTTTTATTATTAATTTAGAAATAGTGAAATTGAGTTGTGGAAGTTAATTTTTTAACGTATTAAGAAAATATGTTAATGCAATATTGTAATTCATACATGATACATATTTTTAAAAAGTAGGTGATGAACCCCGCTTTCAAATTTTTTGATTACCAATAATAACCACGGGATTGCCGCCATAGAAGATAAACTTTGATATTCCATTATAAATAAAGTTACAAGAAATTCAAAATAACAACCTAATACTTATAATGATCGGAGCTCCAATTTCTTGTCGAACTGTCAGAATTTTTTTGGGGGAATCTCCCCTTCTTGGAAATTTTAGCTTTTCGTCGGAATGTATGGTACTTTTTCTAACTAGCTCATTTTGTTTGTTTCAAAACAGGAATAAACCTTCTTTGAACAGGAAGATCTTTTTGCTTATTTGTATATCCTTAGTTCAGCTTCTTTGTCGGATAATTGACTATTCTGCTTCTTTTTGAAAATCTTTATGTTTATGTGTAAGAAACTCTCTTGGTTGCTTGGTCTGAATCGGTACTAATGATCTTTGATGACGTTGAGTTTGGATATGTCAAATTTTATAGAAGGATTTCCTATTTGGTATTTTAGACTCAACATATATATATATAGTAAGTTTTGGGGGAAGGACTAACTTTCTTTTTGGGAAAAAATTGAAAATTAAAACTTAAATACGATTTTGGAATGATATAATAATTCAGTGTATAAAGAAGATGTATAAATTACATGTATAAGACACAATCTGATAAATATTCCTTTAATCCATTTGCCAACTCGGTGATTTATCCCTCATTGAACAGTTTCAAGTGAAAGGTACAAATGAGAGGCTTTTTGTACTTAACATAGACAATTTTACCTGTACACCATATTCAAAATGTCACCTATAGAAAGAATATACAATCCGCAATGAAGTACAATATGAACCCAAATATTGGCAGAGCAAGATACCTTAAAGAGAGATGCAAGTACCATAGCTTTAAACGGAGTGTAGTCCACTAGTTACTGATTGTAAAATATCGTCGTTCAATTTTTGAATATTATTGTGACTCGTTAGATTCAAGGTCTCTAGTATGATAGAGGGAAGTGACCTGTGTAACCATTTGCCAAGCCAGGCAAAGGGGCTCTTAACCTGGTCGTAAGCTAGCCAGAAAAACATTTTTGGCGAGCCAGGCAAAGTGGCTTGTCACATGATTGACACCGTGATGTTTGGCTAAACACTTGTCATACTTAATGACTAGTCAATGAGCTCCACTTCCTCCTTTCTCAATTCTTTCTTTTCTCTTTCTAAAATAAACTAAGAAATAAGAGAAATACTAATAACAGACTATAGAATTTCAGTAGCTAATTGAGGGATTGACGCATGTATTTTTTTCTTAATAATTAATTACTATTTTTCTACTAACTTTCTTCTGGGTCTCTCATTATCTATAATTATTATACTAGCCTCCTAACTGAGAAACTTCATAAACCTCCACGATTTCTTCTCTTTAAAATTTTATTTTTTACAAAATTTCATATCTAAATGTTTGAAGTTTCAATACTAAATTTTTTTTTTTTACAAAAGTACATATCTAAATGTTTAAAGTTCAAATCTGAATTTTTTTGGATCCGTATTCTTTGTTTCGAAGTATTGCTTTGATTTTTCAGATTAAAAAAATAAAATAAAAAATTTATCATAAAATAAAAAGAAAAAAGTACTATAATTTTTTTTTTCTTTCATATTATACTTTTTTTTTTATAATTTGATTTGATTTTTTTTTTATTTGAAAAATAACCGAATACTTCGAAACAAAGAATAAGGATCTGATAGTACTTTTTTCACTGATTTTTTTATTTTTTTAATCTGAAACCTCCACGGTTCCATCTCACTTTAAAATTTTATTTTTTACAAAATTCCATATCTAAATATTTGAAGTTCCAACAGTAAAATTTTCTTTATACAAAAATTCATATCTTAATGTTTGAAGTTCAAATCTGAATTTTTTCAGATTCGTATTCTTTGTATTCGGAGTATTGCTCTGATTTTTCAAATTAAAAAAAATAAAAAAAATTTATCATAAAATAAAAAGAAAAAAGTACTATAATTTTTTTTTTAGATTATACATTTTTTTTTTCATCTGATTTTATTTTTTTATTTGAAAAACAACCGAATACTTAAAAACAGAGAATAGGGATTTGGAAAAATCAGATAATTTTAGAGAGAGAACCAAATTATAGTACTTTTTTCACTGGTTTCTGGAGGCTAATATAGTAATTATATATAATGAGAGACCCTAAAGGAAGTTAGTATAAAAATAGTAATTAATTATTAGAATTTTGTAAAAAATAAAATTTTAAAGTGAGATGGAACTGTGAAAGTTTTTGAAATTTCTTAATTAGGAGATCAGTATAGTAATTATATATAATGAGAGACCCAAAAGAAAGTTAGCAGAAAAATAATAATTAATTATTAAAAAAAAAAACACACGAGTCAATCCCTCAATTAGCAACTGTGATTAGCATCCCTCAAAAAATAATATAAGTTGTTCCTTTAGTCGGCATCATACTTACTGATTGGTGGGCCACTTTAGAGCAATTAGTATAGCAATGGCTATACGGATGACTATACTGTATACACATAAATTAAGATAATCAACCACGTCAATAATTGGACTAACGGGACAATTAGGCTGACATGACTAGATACAACGTATAAGTTAAATGACATGGTATTAACCACCCAAAGAAAAAAAGTTATTGAGACCCACAAACACTGGCCACAAGCATGGCTACGTGTGGCGAGCCCTTTAACAAAATTTGTGCAGGACTCGCTAGGCGTTACAAGCTTTTTTACATATCGAAACCCATTTTTGTTGGCTAAACATATACCACACCGGTTGGGGTTAGTAGTTAACCCATCAGCTCAATGCGCTCACGTGACTCTATACATACAAAAACGGTGTGTCAAAATTGCTCTCTATACTGAATGCACTAAGCTTGCATCTCCGCGACACTTGACTGTGCATAAGACAACTCTAGCTTAAAAATAAGAAGGTTGGTTGGGGAATCCTGCTATAACTACACACACATCTGCATTTCATACCCTCGAAGTACGAACATCATATCATTCAGGTTTTGTTGGGGTCAGTTAAACCATATTGTTTGCTTCAAAACTCACATACTACTCTATTAAATTACCAACCATATAGATGGTGGAACAAACTCAGTCAACAAATCAATATAGTAGGGTTGTGAACAAACTCAAAATGCTACACGAAAGAGCACCCAATTATATATGCGGTTGAAATGGAATCTTTTACCCATTTTCCCAAAAAAATTTACCATCAGTACAGAGAGGTGAAATAAAGTAGTTTATGAAGCACCAAAAAGTAACACAAACTCATGTGTCTCCAACCATGCTCCATCTTTTTATGCCTCCGCCCCAATTTCTTTATTAGTACCATGAGACCACCAGTCACAGTTCTGAATAAAATAAGCTTCAATCTTACTCCAACCCACAGTTCCTTATCAACTGTGATGTAACATGACCCCACTTACAATCAATCCAAATTAGCCACTGATTTTGTGGGACCCACTTGCAATTAACCAAAAATTAACCACTGATTTTGTGGGGCCCTTGAATGGGGCTCTCTCAATAAGCGGTCAGCTGGAGACCTCGTCAAAGCCTAAGATCAAATGCACATGGACTTGCATTAAGCCTACAATCCACCAACCATGTGAGAGGAGACTTTGTTTAATAAGTTGTTATAATTATTGTAAGAGAGGGTACTATAGAATAGAAGCGTCACAAGTTCACACCCACCTAAGAAAGTATTGTTTTTGGACCAAAAATTAAAAATAAAAAAAAAAATTAAAAAAGAGTATTAGTTGATAATTTAATCGAAATAAAAGGTGAGGACAAGCACTGGCATGTCAGCCGACCAGAGTCATACCACACCATATAAAAACTTTCACAAGACCAACAAAAGAATAGAAACCAGAGGCAGAATTAGTTATAGTAATACTTATCATTAGAAGTAATTGTTATCTCCACCCTTGGATTTGATATTTCAAGGAAACTTTTATATATATATATATATAGAGAGAGAGAGAGAGAGAGAGAGAGAGAGAGAGAGAGACACTAAAAAGTGAAATTATAGGTGTGCTAGAAAATGGACATACCTGAATGTTTGCCTAAAAGGAAATGGGAAAGAGCCTTGGAATGGCAAACTCATCACTGCCCCTAATGGGACACAAAGAAAATGGGCATTGGACCACAAGTACAAGGCCAATAGCCTAGAGAATGTGAAATGCTAGTAGCTCATTTTGGTCTCCTCATCACTGCCCCTCTTAGGAAGTTGGGGTGGGGGGTTTTAGGGGCTCAAAGCTGTGTGCCACCCAAGAAACCATAGACATTTTCCCTCAATTATTTACATTTTGGCCCCAATCAAATAACAAGTTGTGTGGTATTTATTTATTTCTTTTGGTAAAAATACATCCCGGTAAGGATTGATTTTTTTTTTTACCGAAAGCCATTAATTAATTTTTTTGACTTTATCACTACAAGTTAAATCTTGAATATAAACAATACCATTTAAACTCAAGTAATTTTACGTTTCGTAAGCCAAGTTGAAGGAGTAGTTTAAGTTGTTAAGCTAGTTTTATTTGTTAAGCATGATATATGTGTGTGTATATATATATTAGACTGATAAGTTGAAGAAGCGTTTTAAAATCTGAAAGTTGGAAGACAGAATGGTAAATTATGAAGTTGCTTTAGATGTGACGATCTTGTCAGTGACATCCAAACAGAATTAAAGTGAAAAACTATGTTACAACGCCAGTTTATTTTATTTTTTTATATTTTAAACACCAACCACGGTTTAGTTTTGTGACAACAAGATTAGGTCTTAATGTCTTGATATTGTTATTATTATTTTTTCACATATCCCCTAATATCCTGTTATTATATTAATATCTTTATATATATATATATATATATATATATATATATATTTAAAGTGGGGAACATTATACTATTTTACAGTCTTCAGGGTCCATTAATACCTACCCATTTTCTAAAAGATGTGAATATATTTCTTTTCCACGGCAACTAGTCAAAAAGCAACATTAATTGAAAATTTGTTTAAGGAATGGGACAAACAATTTTTTAAAATAATTAATTGAAAATTTTGGCTCTGCACAGTTGGGCAACATTCCCAAGAAAATACCTTTCAAAAAAAAAAAAAAAGAAAAACATTCCCAAGAAAATGTCCCACCTTGAGTAAATTTGAGGTTAGCTAAATTCAATCCAACTTCTGAATCATTTTTATACATAAAAGGTGATATTTTACAAAATTTTCATTCACTTTAAACAAAAATGTTCAATGTGTCTGTAAGTTCTGGAAAGCATCATCATCATAAGTTTTTTGTATAATAATTTTGTTTGTACCACCTTTTCTTCAGAAGCTTACAGGCTACACCATGAAAGGATGGACAATCATTGAACCCAATTTATTCTCTTTATATTATAATTTTCTTTTATAAATCTAAATAAACTACGAAATAAACAAACAAGAAAACAAATAAAATGTATATATTTTGAAAAGAGAAAGATTTAGTGACTAAATATCGTCATATCTCAATGCAAAGTAACTGTAAAAACATGTATATATGTTGTATTCCTGGGACACCCTACAAATGAAAACATGTATATATGTTGTTTCACATTTTTGCTTTTATTTTATGTTCATATTTTTCAAAGTAAATTTTGCAAAAACACAAAAAAAAAAAAAAAACTTGGTTTAATTTTCATTAATTCAAAAAATAAAAAATTAATTTCAAAAAACTAGTATGAAAGACATTTTTCTAGAACAATTATTAATATTTTTTTCAATTGAATTTTTAGTAAATAATTTTTAAAAATATTTAGTCTCACAATTTCAAAAAGAAAGAAACAACTTTGATAAGATTACATAAATCTAAATAATTTTTAAAAAATATTTAGTTTCACACGTTCAAAAAGATTACATAAATTTTATCATTGACGTATTATTTAATGACTGAAAATTGATGCGTTCAGAAAATCTATAATTTTAAAAAATTTATACAAAAAATAGTGAATCAAACATACTCATTACTAATAAATTTTACCTTTCTATTAAAAGCAATAAAGTTTCGTAAGATCAAGAACTCAAAGATTGAAGATTTTAGTTTTAGTATGAATATTTTTACTTATGAAAAAAGAAAAAGAATTTTTTGGCTGCCACATCCGTAAATTCGCACAAAAGCCGAGGGCAATGGTACATGACGTCATGGCGATAGCAACCCGCACTAACGCAACGCCTTCCAGTGTGTGTAAAAAACACACAGACACAGACTCAAACATCTCTCTGACTCTAAAGCCTGAGCAGTGTGGCAGGCAGTGACCCCAACCCCTCCAATAAAGCCGAAAGAGAAGGAGAGAGTGCACAAACACTACTAAACCACCACCCCCCTCCCCTCGATACCGACAAAATTTTCACTCTCTCTGTAATTTCTCCCAAAACCATGTCCCTTTCTCCAAACCCTCTTCTTCTTCATTAGTCTTTGGCGCATTTTAGCACACTCCCACAGAATCACCATAACCACTCAACACCACCTCACAAACTCACCAACCAACCCCCTCCTCCTCCTCCTCCTCCTCAAACCCAAACATAGACAAACAATATATATTTTATATAATTGTTTTGTGATCTTTGGTTTTTGATTTTTGAGCTCAAATGGAGAAGGTTATAGCCGACTACGAGCTCAAAGTGTGTGGAATAGTTTAGGTTGTTGTTGTCAAGCGTCTTTCTCTTTTTCTCTCTCTCTCTCTCTTTTTTCTCTTTCTCTATCTAGAATGGGTTGCCGGAAGCTGATGATCTCGGGGAATTTGGATCCGGAGAGGAAGAGGAGTGGGGGTTTGAGGACCAAACAGGCGGGGCGAGGGTCGTGCCGTGGGAGCTAGGCCAGACCGGAATATTTTCCGGCGCAACTGATCGATCGACGTTTCTCTCTCTCTATATTTCTATATCTATCTGTTCGTGCATGGTCGTGTAGTCTTCATTTTGTACTTCATTCACTGTTTGATTCAAGTTTCTTCACGACTCGGAGCTATGGGCTATCTGCTGAAAGAAGCTTTAAAGACTGTCTGTGGCGTCAATCAGTGGTCTTATGCCGTCTTTTGGAAGACTGGTTGCCAAAACCCTAAGTAAGTTCGCGGCTCTCGCGTTTGCCCAAATCTTTAAAGCTTACGACTTTATGTGAATTTCTGTTTGGTTGCTGAGCAAATGGAGGAAAAATGTGTTCTCTGAACTTTTAAACTTTTTTCTAACTTACATGTAAATCTCTGTTTGGCTGTTAAGAATTTGAAGAAAAATCTTTAAAGCTTCGTCTTTTATTTACTGTTTTTTTGGATCCCCTTCATGTAGATATATATATATATATATATATATTTTCCCGGCAGAATTTGTATCATTAAGAGAAAAATAGAATATTGAGTCTCATGGTCGTTGTTTAGATTTTTTCGTAAACAAGAATTTGCTCAAGTAATTAAAGCAACATTGGGGTTTCTTTTGTCCCCATAATATCTCTCCCTTTAACCTTTATTTCCTTAAATTTTCTTAGTTATATGAATTTGTAGTTGTGTGGTTGATTTGGTTTCTAAGATATGATTTGACGCGATATAGCTTTATTGGATATTGTTGTCCCGTTTTTATGCTAAATCTGATCTTTTTTGTTTCCTGTTTCTGGAGTATTTTGTTTGTTTTGTTCTGCTTTGTCTTACCGAATCCTAGTGATAAAAAAAGTAGATTTGTTTTACTTTGACTAACCTCTTCTGCTCTACTGTTTTCTTGTACGTAAATCTACTGATTTAGAATTTGTCTTCATTGTTTGGTTGTATACGATTTTATTTTATTTATTGTTTTTAGTAAGAAATATATATTTATCTGTTCTTTATCAGCAAGTAGGAGAGAAATCTTCAGATCTGTTGCTTTCTGTAAATTGATTGTGAAATTTTAGTGTCTGGATGATTCTTGATTGTCTTCATTACAATTTTCTAATAATTGTTAAGTGAGTGATTATTCTTATTAACGAATGGGTTTTGATTTGTCAGGCTTTTAATTTGGGAAGAATGCTATTATGAACCCATACAATATCCTGCACTTTCACATATTTCTGGAATTGAGAGCCCAGATCTAGCGTTTGAAGATTGGGAATCATGCTGGGTTCCTGCTGAAGCTCGGTCTTCTCATCTTGGGGTCCAAGCACAGGAAAAAGTCCATTCGCTTATGAACAAGATGATGATCGATAACCATATTAATGTTGTTGGTGAAGGGTATGATTATTTTTCATCTTTGTTCCATTCCACACTTGAGCCTTGTTTTTAATTTTATTATTTTATTTTTTATGATTCCCTTGTTGTATGGGACAATAAAAGCATAAATGGTCTTAATATAGTTGTCATTTGTAATTTTGTTTTTCAGTCTGGTTGGACGGGCTGCATTTACTGGAAAGCATCAGTGGATTTTGTCAGAGAAGTATGATAGAGAAGCCCATCCTCCGGAGGTATAAATAAAAATGGGTATTTCTGCTAGTGGTTAAAGTGCAAAGGTTAAGCATCAGTAGATGACATCTATATTTCATATTCATGTATTACCTTCTAATGCACACCAAAAGTGCAAATTGGAAGTTTCAGAGAAAAATTAAGTGATTTATGCTTGAGTTGCTTTATCACTTAGAATCCGCCAATGTGTTTGTTTTGTTCCATGAGAGTCTAGCTGGTTTGTTAACTTGTGGAAGCTAAACAGAATGATAATGGGGACTAATAAATTCAAAGCGTTTTTGGTATACGATTCCTTTTTATGGTGGTACAAGTCATTTGTAAAGGCCAGTATACCAAGAGATTGGATACATTATCTGAACTTAATTTGACTTCTGTATTGTGGGTAATTTTTTAGGTTCTAAGTCAGGTGCGCCAACAATTTTCAGCTGGCATGCAGGTACAATAGTTTTCGCTGTTCTGTTGTCTAGAATGCCCTTTATTTTGCTGGTCAATCACAAATGATGTTTGGTTTGCAGACAGTTGCAGTAATTCCTGTTCTTACTCACGGTGTTGTTCAACTTGGTTCTTCCTTGGCTGTAAGTCCCTTAATTTCCTTGTTTATTTGTTATATTCTGATATAGTAATGTCAAAACAATTTTTAAAACTCACATTCTAGTGTTTTATATAATGTTGACGTAAGTAGTACCTTGTCACTGTGTTTGGTGGCAGTAAATTGTTTTGTGACAATTTAAGTTTGAAGTGGAAGTCTGGTGTCTATTGGTTCATCTTACTACTCTCATCCCGTCAGTGGTTTTCTCATTGACCTATCAAAAGGTTATCTATTCCATGGGCAAACTCTTTGGTAGGTTGGTCCATTATGTTTCAGGAAAAAGTTTATCGAAATTTGTTGAGATTGAAGTGTTTAAAACCAACCTTCTATTCCCAACCAGAAGTATGTATTTTATCTCTCTATTAGGTTTGTGTGGGGTCAATGTAGTTTAACTGTTGTGGCCAAATCAGATACATTTATTTGTGCAGTTCTGAGTCAATGATATTGACTTCCAATTAGGCAAGAGGAGTATGGACTTTCTATGTTAAAAAGCATGATTGATACCTTTGTCTAAGTGCTGGCAATATTGGCAGTAATTTAGAGTTGAAAAGTCTCCACTTTTTAGTTGTCTTCTGTATTTTGGCATCACTTCTAATTAAACAGCCATAATCTGATGCTAATTAATTTAATGCCAGTATTGGTTTGTTCATAATTCTGAAGAATCATGTCATTTTATGTTGGTTTCTTCAAGCTCTTTTCTGAAAGTTTGCTATCTTTGCTGCCCTAGATTATGGAGAATATGGGATTTGTGAATCATGTGAAGACGTTAATTCTTCAACTGGGATGTGTTCCTGGTGCTTTGTTATCTGAAAATTATACAGCAGAAGAACCTGATTTTAAGATTGGGGTACCTGTCTGTCCTGGAAAATCTGTTTCTGCTGATGTGACTGGGAATTATAAGGTGATGAACGCCATTCCTTTTGCTGCTGAAAGCTGCAGCCAACAAAGCATCTCATGTCCGGCTTCAGGACTTGATCAGCCTTGTCATTCTCTAACAAGACACATGCAGAATAACCTGCAGAGTGCTGCTTCAACATTTGAAACCCCTAACCTGACCCAAAATTCGGTTAAATACCATGAGGACTCCTGCCAACAAGAAGTTCTTCCAGCAATGAAAGGGGACCTTCCTTTCAGAAGCCTAGATAACAGAGTAACAGGACCTGAAGTGATGCCCTCAAATTCAGAGGTATGGATGAACCAGCAGCCTTCTTTGTACACTTCAATTTCTGGATTTGATCAACATCCTTGTGTTGACCCATCATCTGCAAATTGTAGCAGCTTAAGATTAATGGAAGAACATATCTTGCCAGATGCTGGTGTACGAGAGCATACTAACAATAGTTTAAGTACATCCAGTGGCTTTATTGCATCTCAGTTGAGATCTAATGGAGGCCTAATTTCTAGTTCTTTCGAAGATCCTATTACTAACCCGTCTCTTGAAGGAAGTCAGTTGCCAAATGGAGTGGGTAGTCATCTGAGATCGATGTCAAATCCATGTTCTCTGCCAAATTCTCACAGAGCAGCTAATAGTAATATTTCTTGCGCACATCTTGCTGGTAGTGGGCATCAAAATGCTGGTTCATCTAAAACTGCGGTGTTGACATCTGATCTCGTGGATCATTTGACTACTAGTCACTCGCTTTCATGCATCTCTGATCGAAGACATCATCATACAAAAGACAAGTCTACTGAAATTGAGTTGGCTTGGAGAAAAGAAAAAGTAGAAAATGATTTATTTCAAGCCCTTTTCATCCCGTCAGCCCATCTGGATGAACAAATTGGTTCAAGTGTCCACATTCCTGGTTTTCTTCATGAAAGCCAGAAGCATGACCATGGACATCAGAGTTCAAGGTCCGAAAATGCTAAATATGAAGATGCATGTGTTGAAACTCCATCGGGGGATGACTTGTTTGATATTTTGGGTGTGAATTTTAAAAACAAACTATTTAATACTGGTTGGAATAATGCTCTTAATAATGGGCCAGACTCAAACACAAAAAAATTGGGAAGGAATAATGATACATCTATGAATATTCAGGATGGGATTTCTGAATTATATTCTGTTGATGGAGGAAACTCGAACAGTGGTATTTTCTCTCCGACTGCCTCTGACCACCTATTAGATGCTGTTGTCTCTAGTGTTCACTCTGCTTCCAAGCAGAGCTCAGATGATAATTTGTCTAGTAGGAAGACATTAACTAAGATTGGTAGATACTCTGTTCCTAATGCATCTCCCCCCTATGGTTCGCTTAATGCGCCTGACCAGCTGCAAGGAGAGTTATTTGGCATCTCCAAGTCTCTGAGTAAAGCAGGGGCAGTAGGAACTTCTTCATTTAGATCCGAGTGTAGTGGGGAAAATGCAGGAACCTACTCTCAGACTACCTCCATTTATGGATCTCAAATTAGTTCGTGCATTGAACGGGGTCATAATATGAAGCATAATAGTAGTATTTCAACTGGATATTCTAAGAGGCCTGAGGAAGCAAGCAAAACAAATCGCAAAAGGCTTAAGCCTGGAGAGAACCCTAGACCTAGGCCAAAAGATCGCCAGATGATACAAGATCGTGTGAAAGAGTTGAGGGAAATCGTACCAAATGGAGCAAAGGTGATGCCACTTCTCTAAGACCCTTTTTTAATCTTTTATCATTAAAATTTTATGTTGTTCTGGTGCTGATGTTATTATTTCATCCCTGATATGGTTTAACAGTGTAGCATTGATGCACTGCTGGAGCGTACCATCAAACATATGCTTTTCTTGCAAAGTGTCACGAAGCATGCAGACAAGCTAAAACAAACAGGGGATTCCAAGGTGCAGACAACTCTCTTTATTGCATTTCTTAGTTACAATCCCTTGTTGAAGTTGTTTTGGATAAGACTTGTTTTATTACTTTGCCAAACTTTTTCGTGCGTGGGTTGCTTCTTGTTGGAAGGTAGAGGATGAGATTTATGAAGAGAGGAAAAAATGTGTGCTAAAAATCTTGTTAAACTTGAAGATACTTTCTTGTGGGAGGAATGTCACTGAGAATTGGAGAAAGTAGGTTTTACTGTTTAGAATTTTGCAAAAATAAAAGGTTCTATAGAATATTGGTAGATCGTTTTATGATTTGTATTACAGAAGACAGTTAAACTGAAGTGAACTACTGTCATACTTTGTCTTGTTCTCATGTGAAACTACAGATTATCAGCAAGGAAGGTGGACTACTATTAAAAGACAACTTTGAGGGAGGAGCAACATGGGCATATGAAGTTGGCTCGCAATCTATGGTCTGCCCTATCATAGTTGAAGATCTGAATCCGCCTCGTCAAATGCTTGTGGAGGTAGTGGCTGCATCGTTTTTTTAAGCTTTATCCTTTACCATCTTGATTATCTGACTTTTAGATGACCGTTTGCCTTGTTTGTATATATTGTTCCTTAATCTTTGTTTTCTTTTTGCTTATTTCGTTGCCTGTGACAGATGCTTTGTGAAGAGCGAGGTTTGTTTTTAGAAATAGCTGATATTATTAGAGGATTGGGATTAACCATCCTGAAGGGGGTAATGGAAACTCGGAATGACAAAATATGGGCACGCTTTGCAGTGGAGGTAACACTTATTTGTGAAATGACTATCATTTGGCAGTTTTATTCTCATTACTTGCTGACCTATCCTTTTTAGGCTGGTGTACAACAAAGCTGTACTTAGAAGAACAGTTGTCTCTCTGTTAACTGATAATTATAATGATAACATCTTTTATTTTTAATAAACATATTGTTTTTAGGTGCTAAAATACTTATTTTTCTGTAAGTATCACTTTGAGTTCTTTGTGCATTCATTAGACTTTCTTTTGCAATTTACAATAAGATCGCTCATGTATGAGAAAATAAACATAAAAGACTAAAGCCCTCAAAATCCTTAAAATATTTTTATGAAAAAAAAGAACATAGAAAATTTGCTTTTTTGTTGACACATTCAAACACTTAGCTTCTGTTTTTGAGTCATGCCTTTTATCTAATTGATTGTATTTAAATATATATATATATATATATATATATTTGATACATATCAATAAATATTTCACAAGGTGGTAGAACTAGTGTTTTCCATTTATTCTCGCAGACCAAAATTCCTCAAGAAAGATGAAAAGAGAGCGCAAAAGCCTCCTCTACCTGAATCACTAAATCTTTTTTTTTTTTTGATAAGTATGCATTCCTTTGCGACGATGAATCACTAAATCTTTCACAATATGCTTGAATGTTTAGTTGAGCTTCTTTCATTCACAGAGGTATTTAAGTTTGCTTTATGCAGTAGTATTGTTTACTGTGCTTCGACTTGGAAGTGACTTGTAAACAACATGACCCAACCAACATGGTTCTGTGGTCATACCCTCACACTTCGAAGCTGACTAGATAGCTTCAGAACATTGCATGTATAAAAAAATTATCAGCATACCTAATTACATATATTATTAAGTATGAAAATGAACTAAATCAATGGTTTGATATGTTAAATAAGGTTATCAAATTAGTTTTACTGCAGTACACCCTATTACAATCAAATTAATTTAGCATCTTCTATGGAGAATATCAATTGCTCTCCATCAAACTTAGATATCCTTGATCATTGTGTACAAGCCATTGCAAGGATAAATTCTTTGTTCTAGTAACTCATCCGTGAATGAAGTCTCATGTCCCAGGTTATGCTCAAATTATCAAAAACCAGTTTCACTTCTAATTTGCTCTTGATGGCTTGATGCTCAGCACTTCAGGTTGAATTTGAACCAAAGAATAGTATTGAGTCTATTGACCTTGATTACTCGATACTGGAAGTAAGAGACTATATCACTCTCTCTAATATTACTGTATTATATTTAAAATAAAATTGAATACATCAATTATTATTACACAAATCCTCAGGGTTTACATTGCTTTGTCTGGATTTCATGTTCGATTTTTCTTGGGTATTTAATTGTCACGTTATGTTTCATGTTAGATATTTCTTGGGTATTTAATGTTAAATTACGTGGGAGTATTAGTTCTACAGTTTGTCACATGTTGAATTGGATGGTTAGTTCCTTACTTTACGTGCCAAAAGCATTTGAAGTTCAAGCCTCAACATATTTGTACAGTGTCTCACTAGTTTTGTATACAGGCCAACAGAGACGTCACAAGGATGGAAATATTTATCTCCCTTGTTCGCCTTTTGGAGCAAACCATAAAGTGCAGTGCAGTCAATGACATTGATCACGACAACATGATGCTCCACCAGTCTTTCCACCAAGCTGCCTCCATACCTGCAACTGGTAGGCATTGTAGTTTTCAATGAGCTGCCTGCTATCTTGCTGTTTGGTCTGAATATGTTGAGAGCAAGCCTAGTTTCTGCTTGCCATGACTAACATGACCCCCAGACCGATACCTTGGGTGGTTCCAAGTTCCAACTCCAGCTGACATTTTTGTCTCCCGTAAACTTTACTGCGACTTCATTCACTTTGAAGCTTAGGCAATGTTATGCTCCTCGAAACACTATTTATTTGTGTATTGTTACAGGAAATATCTGAATGTATCGATCGAATTCCATAGACATACTTTTGAGAAATGGTTACTGATCGCGCCAGATATCTCCTTTTTATCATTCTTTTTCTTTTTTCTCCCCTTAGTGGGTAAGCTTAAATATTGGAGAGGGGTTAAGGTAGCAATATGTTTGTAGTGGGCTCATTGGTTTCAAATGTACATAAATATTGGGACATGAAATGAAGAGTTGGGTTTCTATTTATTTATTACTTGTAATTATTCCCCCTATTCCCCCTCTACTTCTATTTATATGTTTTATTGATACAATAATACCCTCTCATGTCAAGTGACATGAACTCTCTTTTATTTTACTAAGGGTACGACTATCAAGAGAGCCTGATATGAGCTCTCTTTATTAACCACCTAGGAAGCACGGACACCCTAGGAAAAGGCCTGGAGCTAGAAGAGTATGTGAAAAAATTATGGTACTCGAGTAATTGTGAGCTCAATTTAGTGATTCCGTACTAGGAAATGGCCTGGAGCTAGAAGAGTATGAAAAACTTATGGTACTCGCGTAATTGTGAGCTCAATTTAGTGATAATCTCACTGCAGATGTTAACAAAAGAATAGATATGGAGCACATCAACGGGTATCATAATAAGTAATTTAATCAACACTGGGCTACCCACCTAAAATCTGCACGATAGGGGTGCAGCTCTCAACCAACTTCCTCTCATACACAATATTTGGTCCCCTCATGTTAGTGATGCATGTTAGGAAAATATTGTAATGTTAAGCTTACAGTCCAATATTTTTCTAACGTGTATCACTAAGTGGAGGGGACCGATTTATTATTGCACAGGAGAGAAGAGTTTGGAGTTTGATCGTCTTATGGAGAAAATCATAGTGTGTTGCTTCTACTTACAAAGGTGTCAAATTTATTAAAATACAAAGATTAATTTTCGCCTGTACATATGTTTTATGTACTCACTCAGAATATATTCGTAGACATACAAAGACTAATTTTGGTACACTAACAGAAAAATTGATTGTTGGGAAGAATATATTCAAGCAAATTATGCATAATTTTCATGTCCAATCAATTAAGCAAACTATTGTGTGGCGTTCATCCCCCTATTCATCAACCCAAATGAGGAGATATGCCTGTAGATTTATAAATGATGCCTGCAAGAAGGATTTGGACCACTCATGAGTATGAAAAAGAAGAAAGGACAGAGATGACAAGGTTCGGATGCGAGGGAAGCTAGGAAGGAAATGTACATAGAAAGGAGAGAGATGACAAGGTTCGGATGCGAGGGAAGCTAGGAAGGAAATGTACACAGAAGGAAAAGACTGTACTTTTTGCTCTGGATTGATTGTTTCCATCAGTGTTTTTCAAGTTTTTGATTCCTTTGTTTATCCATATTACCGTTCAAGTCACATCGATTGACGTTGCTAAAGTTTTGGTAAAAAGGCATACACACACACACACACAGCCGGATCGAGATTTTTGAGGGGGGGATAATTTTAATAGTGTTTCTTTCAAAAATTTAAAGTATGAAATGAAAAAAAAAAAAATCAGTGGGGCAAATTATAATTTTAGTGGGGGCATCTTCATAAATTATAAAAAATTTAAAGTATAAAATGCTAAAAAAAAGAATCTAGTGGGGACGAATTGTAATTTTAGTGAAGGTATTTTCATAAATTTTAAAACATTTAGGATATAAAATGAAAATATTAAAAGATGAAAACATATAGCTTTTATAAGTTATTGTTCTCCTCACATGTATGTTTGATAACTTTAAGCATCAAATGGCGATGAAGTGATAGTTAAAGGGGATGAAGAGAGTGTCAAGTTGAAGAAAGTTTCCCAAGAAGTTGAAGTTGAAGTAGAAGTTGAAGTTGATTGAAATCTGAAATTGAATTGTTGAAGGAAGATATATAATTTTAGGCATTTGAAAGTCACCGGAGTGTAACAGAAAGGAAGAAGAGTAGGCATACATGGCAAAAAGGCTTAGTCTAATAAGGCTCATTTGTCCCGTATCGAATTTGGATGGGAAAGTGATTGGGTATAAATGGGTGAGCATGTAGCACTACCCAATAGCTTAAACTTTTGGGTAAATGGGCAAGCGCCCACCTATTACAATTGGTATTAGAGTTAGAATCAGAGCCAGATCCAGTCTTTGATCCCAGCTCGGAGAGCGTCCGAATTGGGGTATAAATGGGTGGTATTGGTATTTTCTCACATTTCAAAGTAAAATGTGGAAGTTTAAATCTCTATAGGGGAAATGCGGGTTCTTTGGTGGAGAGTTTAAATCCCCTAAACCTTTAGGGGCAATTGGGTGTGTGAGTGAATTTTTTGTATATATAAAAAGAGAGAGGATGAATTACACTTGTTTTCCCTCTAGTTAGGGTTTATGACACTTACCTTATTAGTATTTTGAATAATTACAATTACCTCCCTTTTAGTTGCATGTAACAAGAAGTCAATCCCTGCTTTCAGTTTCGTGATCACGGATGATCAATGCTGATGTAACAAGTTTTTTAACTTAATATGATAAATATGCCCATCAAATTAGTATGAAGACACTATTATTCAAAACTTGTTGAGCAAAAAGATAATTATACCCCTAACTCACACCATTTTCGTAAATATAATTTCCTTTAATTATAGGGGTACAATTATCTTTTTGCACAACAAGTATTGAACAAAAGTGCATTCACGACAATTTGAAAGACATATTTATCATTTCATCATCTTTGATTGTGTGAAATTACCGGTAAAGTCGGTTTGTTCCACACATAACTAAAAGAAAAATAATTGTAATTATTCAAAATATAAGAAAGTAAGTGTAATTGATCCCAGAAAAAAAATAATCATAAGTTTTAACAACAGCTAAACAAAAGGAAGCTGTCAGCTCTCTTCATAACCAAGCAAAGATAAAGGAGCAAATTGCACAACACTACCAACCAAGCCAAAGGCTATAAATGGCAGGGAAATTGAAAATAGATAACATCCATACAGAGGAATGTGCCTCAGATATCAACCCAATCAGCTTTAAACAAGAGGTTTTACAACCCTAAAGTTTTGTCAAAATCCTACTAATGCCCCACTAACAAAACCTAATTTGTCTAACTCGATTGTAATCATGCCCCCCACTAACAAAATCCCTTATACATTTTTGCCCGCAAGATCGCCACCAGCACCTCCTCTATCTCCCTTTCTAAATTTCACAATATTATTGACTTATCTACCTATTTGTTTTTTTTTTTTTTGTTTTTGGGAAAGGTAACTTATTTATCTTTGAAGATCTTACTAAGCTTGAAAGGACATCTCCAATGGACTCTCCGAATTTATCACATCAACATTTTCTCATAGTCACGTTAGCATTTTTCATAACCACGTTAACGTTTTAGAATTTCTAAATTTTAGCTATCGGATGTACTCCAATGGTGCATTTTCGCAATTCAAAAATATTAATGTTTTAATATTTTTAAAATTTAAAATAAAATTTATTTTTTAACTTTTTTCCTAGACTATATTTTTAACGGCTATATTTATAACGGCTATATTTTTCATGTTATATAAACAACCATTTAATATCATTTGATTTATTAATTTTTAGTGAAAACAAAGACATATTTTTTTTAATAAAAAAAATCATATTTGAAATAAACAATGAAAAGTTTCTAATATCATTTGAAATAAACAATGAAATGTTTTTTTTTTTAATAAATGAATAAATATGTATATAATTATTTTAAAAAAAATTAAAAAATAGGTTTTTGTGCCAATATAGCCGTTAAGGCACTATTTGGGTTAGCCAAACAATGCATAAAACGGCTATATGTAAATAGGAATATTTAAAAACTAATTTTTTTTTTTAAAAAAAAAAACACTTTTTCTATTTTTTTAAAACTTTTTTTGCCCAAAAAAGCCTTTAAGGCATTGTTTGGCCTCTTTTGTTCAATTATTTTGAGGGAAAAAAAAGAAGAAAAAAAGAAGACCAAAATCAGCCAAAAAACTGATTTTTTTTTTTTTAATTTATTATTATTATTATTATTTTTTTCTAGCCAAACATGCCCTTAGAACAGTGTTCTGGGTAACTGTCAGATTTGGGCCATAATAAAAAAATTAAAAGAAAATGGAGGCGAATCGCCAACAGGGTCACGGAATACCACGACCCATTCCGCTATCTAATGGGTGGGGCCCAATTTTTGGCTACCCATTGGAGCGGTCCAATCTTCAAACCAGGCCCTTCTTCGTCGAGTTTTGGTCCATTGGACCTGCTCTAACTTTTTCATTTTTAGAGAGAAAAAAGTTTAGCGGGGAGAAAGTTATGAGTATACAGAGATCTTTAAAGGTAGATAAATCAATAGGGCTTGAGATTCAGACACATTCGACTAAAATTATATGAATAAGGGATGACGTCACGATGCTATCATCAGATTTAATGACATTATCTCCACTCACATAAAATAGCCCCCTTACTTAATTATCATTATTCCAAGTCAGTATTACTAAGAAATTTCTTAACTTGGTTCCGTTGTTCCTAAAAGATGTTTACTGAGAAGAGAAATTTCTTTGAAGATCTCAGGAGAGAAATTTCTTAAATTGTTCCTATATAAAGATAGTGACAAAAAAGAGAGTCCACGCGGTCATCTAAGGCGTGCAAAACAGTACTTCTAAAGTTGTTGATCAATGGGACACAGTTCATGTTTTTACTTTTGCATGGCTAGGTGTCATCATCAGTACACAAGACCTACCATATGTAATTGGCTAATTCCAATCGACAGGGGAACTACTGCTGTAAAAGTCAAGTCATTCACATATGATGATACACATATACAACTATATCTATATATATATATATACTTAAAGAAGCTGTAGCCATGCTGCTGTTTATGGGTTACAGATATATATCATCCAAAGTTAGAATCCACTCGGCCAACTTTCCATTCCCACCCTTAATTTCTTTCAGTGAACTTCCTTACTTTGTACTTGCATTGTACAAAAAGATGATAAGACGTGTCCATAAAAGTTTGTGTGCGTGTGTGTATGTTTTTTATTTTTATTTTTATTTTTATTTTTTTATATATTTTTGTCCGAGTCCCTACTTATAAATATATGAGTTTTCCACGAGGCATCTTTAATACATACACACATCACACACATTATTTTATTACAGTTGATGAAAATTTTGATTAATTTCCTCAGCATTTAGCCATGGAGATGGAGTCCGGAAGGCGTGGTGATGATCGGAAAGCGGGTGACGGTTGGTGGTGGGTGAAGGGTGTGCCAAAGAAGTTAAAAGAAAAGATGGTTGAGGTTGCTAGGAATACAAAGGAGGTGGGACAAGATGATCCCAGAAGAATTATTCATTCTCTCAAAGTTGGACTAGCTCTCACCTTCGTTTCTTTAATCTACTACTTTCACCCTCTTTACCAAAATTTTGGTGTCTCTGCAATGTGGGCTGTGCTCACTGTAGTGGTGGTTTTTGAATTCTCTGTTGGTAAGTTCATATACACTATTTTAGCTCCACTAAATTCATAAAGACAATCTAATATATATATATATATATATATATATATATATATATATATAAATATATATTTTGTGAGAACCCTTTTCTATTTTTAAAAGAAAATGGTATTAAGACATGCTTGTACACTTTGTACCCATGTGATGCATTGTGATGGGATCTACTTTGGGTTCCATCACATGCATTCTATGGATGTAAAACCTTCTGGTTTTTTTATTTTAATCGTGCTTTACTTATGTTGTGATTTTTTATTTTATTTTATTTATTGAGTATAACAATACATTATATGAATGTTTTTGGCATATTTTTCAGGTGCAACACTTGGAAAAGGCTTCAATAGGGGAGTGGCAACACTGCTAGCTGGTGCTCTTGGTGTTGGAGCTCATCACTTGGCTAGTCTATCAGGAAATATTGCCCACCCCATACTACTCGGGTTATTCGTTTTCTTACAAGGTAGATAGACACACACACACACACACACAAGCCACTTGACAACTTGAACCATGCAAGTTCATGCAATTGACTTATTTAGAGTTCACATTATGTCATCTTAATAGTACAATCGCCACTCTAGTCACTCCAAATTTCCAAATAATTTCATTAATGGTTAAAATTGTTCCATTTATTCATGATTTGTTGGGTCTTTTGCAGCTACAGCGGCAACGTTTGTTCGATTCATTCCTGAAGTGAAGGCCAAATACGATTACGGATTATTGGTATTTATATTAACATTCTGTATGGTTTCTGTGTCTGGTCTCCGAAATGATGAAATACTGGATTTGGCCTACAAGAGGCTATCCACAGTTTTCATGGGTGCCTCTGCCTGTGTGATTGTATCCATTCTAGTCTGTCCCGTTTGGGCTGGTGAAGATCTTCACAACCTAGTAGCTCTCAACATCGAAAGGCTTGGAAATTTCCTAGAAGGTACATGTTTTATATTCAATAATAAAATCATCAACACACACAAACTTGGACTGTCAACTACTGTGTAAACACATTTCAACTGTCAATTTGTGCTACCTCAATTAATGAAAACTCAAGAGACGTTGTTATTCAGACCTAATAGTCTAGCGGAACAGTCTAGCTGAGACGCTATTCAAACCTAATGGCCTAAGAATCATGATCCAAACTCAAAAAACTTACTTGGAAAAGAAAATGCGCAGGATTTGGAGATGAATACTTGAGAACATCAGAGGATGAAGAATTGAAGGACGACAAGTCGTTTCTGCAAGCTTATAGAAACGTTCTCAACTCGAAATGCTCTGAAGAAACATTGGTGAGTTAAAAATTCTATCTCCATCTTTCTATATCTGAATGATAATGAAAGAAAATGGCTATAACCTATAGTTTGTCAATTGGCAGGCCAATTTTGCTAGGTGGGAACCTGGTCACGGTCGGTTCATGTATCACCATCCATGGAAACAGTACCTGATAATTGGAACCCTCACACGCCAATGTGCCTATCGAATTGAACTTCTTAGTGGCTACCTTAACGTCCCTGAGTCTCAAGTATTATACATTACCCATTACTCGAATTCTGTCTGCATATATAATATGTTATGTATGCTCATTTTAATTAGCATCTGCAAAAATAAACATTTCCTATGAGCAGAATATAGAATTTCATATAAATACATAAGAATTCTCATCAAGCACCTTGTTATATAATATTATTGGCAATTGATGCAGGCAGTGGCACCCCCAGAAATCCGTGAAAAAATTCAGGATACATGCACAAAATTGAGCTTGGAGTCTGGCAAAGCACTAAAAGAGCTAGCATTGGCAGTAAAAACAATGACTCATCCATCCTCTGCCGATCCTCATGTTACTAACTCAAGAAACTCTGCCCAAAATCTTGAATTATTGCTGAAATCAGGCTTGTGGGAAGACACTGACCTCCTAAAGGTCATACCGGTGGCCACAGTGGCGTCGCTGCTGATTGATGTTGTAATCTGTGTGGAGAAAATTGCTGAGTCCATTCATGAGCTTGCTTCCCTTGCACATTTCAAGACCATAGATATGACTGTGTCGCCGGAAAATCCAATGTCAGATCAACTGAGAACTGCAAAATCACATACGGACACTGATAGCCACCACCATGTCATTACAGTGGACAATTCAGATTCTGCTTTCAAGGAAAATGGCAACCCTCAATTTCCAGTGAGCAGTAGATGTACAGAAATTTGTAAATGTGTTAATAATGTATAAATGTACATATTATTCAAAGATAAGTTTTTACTGCTTTGGTTGTTGTGAGATAATCAATGAGAAACTTGACTGGAAGATCCTGAAAATGTATTTTTTTTTTTTTTCTTTTTAATTGATAATGTCCTTTTTCCCTGCTATAATAATGTTTGCCTGCTGTTTAAATTTCATTGTCTTTTTGATCATGTCTTTTTTCCCTGCTGTATTAATTTCATTGTCTTTTTGTTTCTTATAGGTGGTTACCCAGGGACGAATCAATTGTAGTCTCAGCAGAAAGTTAAAAAAATAATAATAATAGTAAATAAAATTAGGATACATATAGGTAAGATCATGCCATCATGGGTTCAAAAAATATTAAGCCTGTGATTGGCTGAGAATAGAGTCTTTTTTTTTTTAGGGCAAATATACAGAATGTAAAAGTACCTCTTTGGGGTTCAAAATCTTTTCTACATTTTTCAAATTGTGGTAGAAAATAGAAAATTGAGAAGCAGAGCGTCCGATCGGATATCTGACTTCACCGTCACACCAAGAACATCACGAAATCTAGAGAAATATTTTGATTGATCACATCACACACTTTACGGCACCCGGTCACCAATTCCTTAAAAAGGGCTAAATTGAAATTTTATACTACAACCCTGTCATCCAATCGTTAGAACGACAAATGGACTTCACCATTGAGTCTAGATAATCCGAAAACCATATGGTACACTTCTTATCGAGGTATCCCTCTCCATCATTCACTTTGACCAGGCCCTTCGACGGGGCGAACGGTCAACCTGAGTTTGACTTTTCACACTAATGGTCAAACTCACCCATGAACTTCACCATTGTGTTTAAAAGGTTCAAAATTTTTTCAAAGTACAGTAGTATTGCCTACCTTCCATCTCCGCCCCACCTTAGACCAAGACAAAATAAAAAAATATTGATTTCAGTTTTTTATAGTATATATTAAGCGTATTTTGGAGTTTTATAAAAAAAGAAAATTTGGTCAAAGACGGTAAATATATATCAGGGGACAATTTACACATATTTTTAAATATTAGAGATTTTATATACACATGCTAAATTGTAGGTGTATTTTTTTACACATTTTTCATACAACAGGGTTTTTTCTTTTTGCACTATACCCTTTCTTAAAATAAGCTTTTATTAAGAAAAAAAGAAAAAGAAAAGAAAAATATACGAAAAATAAAGAGGGCATACCCTCAAAACACAAAGGGGTATACCAATCCCATTTCCAAAATAGAGTTTGCTTCCTTGGCATGGCATCTCATAAAATTGTCCAACTCACATTTTTTTGTTGTATGAAGAGTTGAGGAATATTTGTGACAAATAAAGCCAAAATATAAACTGGACCTCAACTAAACAAAACCTTCCAAAATTATAAGTATAGGTTTAATACATAGTGCGCAAAATGACCAAATTGTGGTCACTTAATGAGTTGATTCTTTTGTTTTTTAAACAAGCTTAGAATTTGACTGATGATCGAGGACCTGTTTTGCAGAGTTGGAAAAAAAAACAAGTAATTGGAACTCCTTATTCTGTACAAAACCAATGGTTTAAAATTGAAAGTGTATATATATATATGTTGAGAACTTCCATCGACCACACAAAATGAAGAAAAAGTAAAATGAAGTGCGTTTTGAGGTGTTTCCTACTATAATCTCCTTCAACCATTTAAAAAGAAAGAATATTCTTTTTCTATGAAGAGTAGAAAGAAGAACATTTGAACCAACTTATCACTTTAATACACTACCACACTTATCATGTAATGCTAGCAACATATCCAAAACCTTTTTTTGGTTTTTTATGTCTTTCCCACTTTTACTCATCATCATTGAGGATAACATATATATCTATACTATTATTAAATATACAAAGCGTTTCAGTATTTCAATATTCAGTATTTTAATATTTATTTATTAATATAAAAAAATATTTATTAATTGTTATAAAACTCTAAAAATTACTTAATAAAATTCAAATTACCTAATAAAATTCAAATTACAAATTACCTAATAAATCTATATTATTATTAAAAGAGTTTTATAAAATAAAATAAAATCTAATTAGACAAGAATAAGTAAACCACAAATTACCTATTTTTATTTTCAATAAAACTCTATTACATTAGACAAAGATATATTTAAAGAGTTTCTATAAAACTCTAATACAAATTACTTATGTATCTATTTATTATGAATTTTTAATAAAAGGAAATCTAATTATACGAGTATTATTAATATAAAAAATTATTTATTAATTGATATAATAAAAGGAAATCTAATTAGAGAAGGATATATTTGAAGAAAATAGAATAATTTATATAAAATTCAACAACAAATTACCTATTTTATTTTCAATAAAACTCTATCATGTTACACAAAGATATATTTAAAGAGTTTCTATAATTTCTAACACAAATTACATATTTTTCTATTTATTATGAGTTTTTTAATAAAATGAAATCTAATTATTCGAGTATTATTAATATATATTTAAAAAAAATAAAATAATTCTTAGAAAACTCTACCACAAATTACCTATTTTATTTTCAATAAAACTCTATCACATTAGACATATATTTAAAGAGTTTCTATAAAACTCTAACACAAACTACCTATTTATTATGAGTTTTTAATATAATGAAATCTAATTATATGGGTATTATTAATATACAAAAAGAAATCTAATAAGACAATGATATATTTGAAGAAAATAAAATAATTTATATAAAATTCTACCACAAATTACCTATTTTATTATTAATAAAACTCTTCAAGAGAGCACATGTCATCAAGCCTATAAATAGAGACATGGAGGAAGGAGGAAAGGAGGCAAAAATTGAGAATTCATAGAATCAAAATATCAAATCATTTTTGATGGGTTCAAAAGCTCTGAAGAAGGAATTTCTCAGAAGAACTCTATATTATTCTTGATGAAAATTATTCTGGCATGGGTTTTTGGATATGTTTAAGTTCAATCAAGCTTGTCTGGTCAAAACAACCCGTGAAATTCTAATTCTCTTGTTAGTAGAAATTGTTTGAACTAAATATTGCCATTCTACTATTCTTTTAGGTGCAGTCCCACTTCATCATGAATTGTGTATGGTTGTAATTTGAATTATTGGAAAAACACTTGTCAAGGAAGGAGAATTTGGAAGGTTTTGATTTCTTAGATCCCATGAATGATCCCTCTCCGTTCTCCTCTTAATGCATGAGTTCAAGCTCATAGAAACATATGTATCAGCAGCTGAAGTCATATTAATTAGTACCCTGTTGAGAGACTTCAGTCTTCAAGCCAAAAATTGAGGATAGTGGTTGCCAATCGCTTCTTCCTTCAGACCATACAAGTGCACTTTCAGCGAAGTGTAATTTCAGCGAGGTATCCATTTGTATAATGCTCAGTCCAGGTGAAGCAAATAAGTTTAAGTAGATGGTTCAATAGCTCGTAAGACCATTTGAACATAATTTTATTAATTAATATAAAATTAGATTTTAAGAGTTTTATAATATTTATTAATTAATATAAAAATAGTTTATATAGAAAGAGTTATTTATGAATTAATATAAAAATAGTTTTTATAAAACGCTAAAAATTACCAAATAAAATAAACCACCACTTTCAAATTACCTAATAAAATTCAAATTACAAATTACATAATAAATCTATACTATTATTAAAAGAGTTTCTATAAAACTATAACACAAAATATAAAAAATATTTATTAATTAATATAAAAAGAGTTTTATAAAAAGAGTTTCTAAAAAACTCTAAAATTTACCTAATGAAATCAATCACCACTTTCAAATTACCTAATAAAACTTAAATTACAAATTATCTAATAAAATTCAAATTACAAAAATAATTTTTATAAAAAGAGTTTCTATAAAACTATAAAATATTTCTTAAAAAAATATTTATTAATTAATATAAAATATTTATTAAAAAATATAACAATAGCTTCTATAAAACTCTATCAATTATAAAAAATATTTATTAATTAATATAAAAAGAGTTTTTATAAAAAGAGTTTCTATAAAACTCTAAAAATTACCTAATAAAATTAATCACCACTTTCAAATTACCTAATAAAATTCAAATTACAAATTACCTGATAAATCTGTACAATTATTAAAAGAGTTTCTACAAAACTCTAACACAAAATATATATATTAATAAAAAGTATCACCACTTTCAAATTACCTAATCAAATTCAAATTACAAATTATCTAATAAAATTCAAATTACAAAAATAGTTTTTATAAAAAGAGTTTCTATAAAACTATAAAATATTTAGTAATTAGTATAAAAAAATCTATACTATTTTTAAAAGAGTTTCTATAAAACTCTAACACAAAATAAAAAAAAATATTTATTAATTAATATAAAAAAAGTTTCTATAAAACTATAAAATATTAATTAATTAATATAAAATATTCATTAATTGATATAAAAGAGTTTTTATAAAAAGAGTTTCTATAAAACTCTAAAAATTACCAAATAATATCTGATAAGGATAAAAATAATAGGCAACTCAAAGTTAAAAGAGAAATAAGATAAGGGTAAACGATTTATCTTACCCAAAATCTCTATGAAATCATAAAAAATATCTGGTTACCATATGTAACCAGAGTTACCATTTCTGTAAGAAGGGAAGAATATCATTTTGGATCTGGGAGAATCTCGTTTCAACAACTACTACCATTAATGTTTCTATAAAAGAAATGATCAGCCAACCTAAAAAGGGACACCATAAATTTTATATGTAATCCTTATCGGATATTAGATCGTCAAGTACTAACTTGACCGCCGGGCACCACGCCGGTCATCACTTCTCTTGTTTTGCAGGAATCGCCACCGATTCCGGAGCGTGTAGATTTTTGGCATCAACAGTTGGCGCCGTCTGTGGGAACGTATATTAGTCTCAACAAATCATGGTTCGTACAAGGAAAATCTACGACAAAACTTAAAAGCAATTCAGTCTCTTTATAATCTGGCTTTCTCTAAAAGAAAGAGAATAGTTCATGGATTGCGTGGCCAAAAGCAAGGGTACAGTTGCTCAATCCGGTAAAATTGCTGGAAAGCCTCATTCGACCGCTAGCAGTTGTTTCATCATCGCTGTTAATCGGATAAGTTTCATGCATTACGCGTATATCAAAATATATGTCTACACTTCCTCACATGATTTAAAGAGAAACAATTTTTTATGTGTTTCCAATTGACTGCAAAATATTGTTCACCTATATAATGATGTAGTT